TGTTGATGGTTTACACTGGTATATGACAATGTTTATTATTACACATTAATATGTTTTAGGAATAAACATTTTAAATGTGAAACTAAATCTTTTCATGTATTGGAATCGTTCATAAAGATCCTTTCGAATATGTTGCATTTTTTTGACGTTTTTTGTTCATATAAGCCCCTTCTTAGCATTATGCATACACAGAGTATATGGTATATGGTATAGGTATATGGTATAGACGATAAATACATACAAATATAAACAATAGGATAACAAAAAAGAAACAAAGAGCGGATTAGGAGTAGAGAGGAGTACATAACATTAGGATAACAGATCGTACAACTCTTTTGTTTGTTTAACAATAATAATAATAATAACAGAGATGAAATCCCACGAGATGATTGAGCTGATAAACGAATTCATGCGAAAATACGCAAAGGACGACACGCTGAAGGTGTGGCTGGGGCCAGAGCTGAATGTGTTGATGGCCAATCCTAAGGATGTGGAGGTGGTGCTGGGCACATTGCGCTTCAATGACAAGGCCGGCGAGTACAAGGCCCTGGAGCCGTGGCTGAAGGAGGGCCTCCTCGTCAGTCGCGGTCGCAAGTGGCNAACTCTTTTGTTTGTTTAACAATAATAATAATAATAATAATATAAAATAACAGAGATGAAATCCCACGAGATGATTGAGCTGATAAACGAATTCATGCGAAAATACGCAAAGGACGACACGCTGAAGGTGTGGCTGGGGCCAGAGCTGAATGTGTTGATGGCCAATCCTAAGGATGTGGAGGTGGTGCTGGGCACATTGCGCTTCAATGACAAGGCCGGCGAGTACAAGGCCCTGGAGCCGTGGCTGAAGGAGGGCCTCCTCGTCAGTCGCGGTCGCAAGTGGCACAAGCGACGAAAGATCATCACGCCCGCCTTCCACTTCAAGATTCTCGATCAGTTTGTCGATGTATTTGAGAGCGGATCGCGTGAGCTGCTCCGCAACATGGAGATGGATCGTCTGAGGCAGGCCAAGACTGGCTTAAATCTCTACGATTGGATCAATCTCTGCACCATGGATACGATTTGTGGTAGGAATTATTAATTATTTCGGTGACCTGAACGTAAGCAAACGGTAACAAGTGCCCTTAGTGCTGGAAATTGCTGAAAGTTGAAAACGCGTAAAACCAATGAAAATCGAGCAGTCTGGCAACAGTGTCGTTACGTTTAAAAGAACTAACTCGCTTGGTACGGCAACGCCGTTCTTTCTCATTCGCACTTTTATTATTTATTATCGTATTATTTCGGGTATAACTTTAGTAACCTTTAATAACTTTGCAATTTTTGTACGCTTAGAAACTGCCATGGGCGTCTCCATCAATGCACAGACGAATGCCGACTCCGAGTACGTGCAGGCGGTGAAGACGATATCGATGGTGCTGCACAAGCGCATGTTCAACATATTTTACCGCTTCGACTGGACCTACATGCTGACACCCCTAGCCCGTGCCGAGAAGCGTGCCTTGAATGTGCTCCACGAGTTTACGGAGAAAATCATTGTGCAGCGTCGCGAAGAGCTGATCCGCTGCGGCAATAAGGAGGTCGACACATTCATGTTCGAGGGCCACGACACAACCTCCTCAGCCCTCGTGTTCTTCTTCTACAATATCGCCACCCATCCAGAGGCGCAGGCGAAGTGCTTCGAGGAGATCAGTTCGGTGATGGGCCAGGACAATAGCACCCCGGTCACATACGAGCTGCTCAACAAACTCCACTATGTGGATCTGTGCATTAAGGAGACGCTTCGCATGTTCCCCTCAGTGCCGCTACTTGGTCGCAAGGTGCTCGAGGAGTGCGAGATAAGTAAGTACCTTCTCCGCCACAGGCGGTATCCATGGTCAAATTTCTGATACTCCAACCTCCAACCAATCAATCAGATGGCAAACTCATTCCCGCTGGAACAAACATCGGCATCTCGCCCCTTTTCCTGGGCCGCCGCGAGGAGCTCTTCAGTGAGCCCAACAGCTTCAAGCCGGAGCGCTTCGATGTGGTCACAAGCGCCGAGAAGCTCAATCCCTATGCCTATATACCCTTCTCTGCGGGGCCGCGCAATTGCATTGGCCAAAAGTTTGCCATGCTCGAGATCAAGGCCATTGTCGCCAATGTTCTGCGTCACTACCACATCGACTTTGTCGGCGACACAACGGAGCCGCCCGTTCTCATTGGTGAACTGATTCTCCGCACCAAAGATCCGCTCATGTTCACGCTGCAGGAGCACGTCTACTAACCACAATCGCGTCTTTTCGCGTTTTCTTTTTTTTTGTTGTAGAATTTGTAGCTGTAGTCATTAAAACACGTTCAAAAATAGCTGCAAGATTATTCGTGTAGCCAAGTTTATTTATTTGAACACATGTAAGTCCGGGAAGTATCCCAAATGGCTAGCACATTGGAGTTGGCATTGAAGGCTTACATATAAAGGCGTAGCAACTGATCTGCGGTCACTTCCCCATTGCATATGCGCATTGGGGCGGTTGCGGGTCAGGTTCGCTTCGATGCAAGCACGGCAAAAGATGTGGCCACATTTAGTAGCCACTGGCTCATGGTCGCGTGGGGCACGCAGACAAATGGGGCATTGGTAGCCAACGTCCGGAGAACCGTTTGGAACTGGCTGGCCGCCGGCATCCGCATCCAACGAGACTTGACGACCACCGGAGACGTTCAACTCAAACAATGCGAATGAACAATCCTCGAAAAGCGCGACAACCAAGGTTATATTGCCGGCTAACACCTCGGCTTGAATTGGATTCGCTGAAAAGTAGAACAATTAGTCGCTTGCATTGCACAAATATGCCGGAAACGTACCTCCAGCAACGTCTTCCGATATATCGTCCAAACGCCGTGCAGTGGTGTCGTATGATAGCAATCGGGTGCCGTTGATTCTAATAACAAATGTTCTGTTTCTGGTTCTGGTTCTGGTTGCAGTGACAGTAACAAATGTCAAAAGCGTTCCGAAAAAGGCCACTTCGATAAACACAAAATAGCAACTCGCACCAGAGCTCAGAAGGCCGTGTCGGATTTGGAAGCCGAAAGCCGAAAGCCGAAAGCCGAAAGCCGAAACCTGAAGCCACATAATCGGCCGAATATTTATTTTTTCTTGTGTGACGTTTGGTGAAAGTTTGGAAATGGCTTTTTCTGGCCGCAAAAACAACTGCGAAATGGATTTAACCGAGGAGGAGCTCGTAAGTTGACCAAAAACTATGGAATCTTGTTATTAAATCTACATAAACATTTAATGGATGCATCGCAGCAGAATTATGAGCAAAATGACTCGAATGGAAATCGCTTGCACGTGCAGGAGCGTACAATCCCATTTTTTGGACTCGTCAGTCGCCAAGTTGAATTTAATGAGCAGAACCAGATCCTTCGCGCTACACGCTGGGCAATTTCGCAGAATAATCAAACAGCTGGGCAACGGGACAACTCGAACTCGGACTTTGATATTAAAAGCTGGATGAAGATGCAGGATAATCTGCCAGAACTGGAAAAGAATAAATATAAGCACGATAACATCAAACGCTGGGTAATTTCACAGGAGAAATACTTACAGCAGAGGTCCAATGAGATGCGCCCATCGATGAATTAATTGAAGACGAAGCTGAGAACATGTAGAGGCGCGCTGACACTAGACGCGGCTAGATTTCGGAGGGGAATTAGTGT